GTCCCTAGCCTCTGTTTGTCAGAGGCTGGAGAAGGATGGCAGGAGACAAATTGCTTGATCATTGTCTTCGGTCCACCCTCTCTGGGGCACCGGTGTTGGCCACTGTCGGCAGACAGGCTACTGGGCTAGATGGACCTTTGGTCTGACCCAGTATGGCCGTTCTTATGTTCTTATGAAATTGGGCTTTTTTAGTTTGGAAAGGAGAAAACTGAGAGGGGACGGGATAGTGGTTTTCATGTATCTAAAAGGGTGTCATAAGGAGGAGGGAGAAAAATTGTTCTTCTTGGCCTCTGAGGATAGGACAAGAAGCAATGGGCTTAAACTTCAGCAAGGAAGGTTTAGGTTGGATATTAGGAAAAACTTCCTAACTGTCAGGGTGGTTAAAAACTAGAGTAAATTGCCTAGGGAGGTTGTGGAATCTCCATCTCTGGAGATACTTAAGAGCAGGTTAGACAGACATCTATCAGGGATGGTCTAGATGGTGTTTGGTCCTGCTATAAGAGCAGGAGACTAGACTCGATGACCTCTCAAGGTCCCCTCCAGTTCTAGTGTTCTATGAATCTATGACTCTATATTATCAGACCCACACTGGCTCTCCTTAGAGCTGGGCTACTCAATATGCAGCCTGTGGGCCACATGCAGTCCGTGGCCTGTTTTTTGTGGCCCACGGTGCAGTTTGGGTTTATGTGGGGCTGAACACACGGCCCATGGGTGGGACCCAAAACAAAAAACTAGTCAATATAATGGTCTTCTGTTGATATGGATTTTAGTAGTTAAATTCCTGGACTGTCATTGCTCATGAACAGTGCTGTTATATTGGTGGAAATTGGGTCAATATTGCATTTTATTAATATCAGCAGAACTGACTTAAATGGGGCCTGTGTGTTGTATAGTCTTGTCTTAATCTTTGTATTCATGCCTGTCAGTGTGAAAGAAGCTATTTGCATATATTTGCATGTATATGCAACCACACTTATGTTATGGCCCTCAGCATGTGCTGTGAGTATCACTGTGGCCCCCCGGGCTTCCAAAGTTGAGTAGCCCTGCCTTAGAGGACAGTAATGAAGCTCAAACAGTTAATCTCCTTTTAGACCGCAGTGTAATAACTACTTTCTCTTCTCATTCCTGTCATAAGCACAAGCAATGATACCATGTAGTTACAGTACCAAGCTGAGCCTCCAACGAGGGTGACCTCGACCCTTCCGAGTCAACCGACGATGGAGGGGAGGTCATGAGGCTAATAAGGTCCTGCGCCGCTTCAAATGTGTCCAGCGTGGACAGGCGTGTCAGCCGAAATGGTCAGGGCAGTGTGTGCGTGTGTGTTACACCCAAGTCTTCAACTGCTGAGACGCAAAGTCTCGTTGCAGTGGGCAGCCTAGGAGGCTGGAGTGCGCCCCGAAAAATAGTTTAACGTCTGTGACTTTACGGCTAGGACCGGGGTCCTGTCGCAGAGGGCAGCCAACAGGCTCTCAGACGCCCCGAGTTTATAGGAAGAGCTTACTACATCTCAGATTTTAGCTGCTAGGATACAGAAATCTCTTCACAGCGGGCAGCCTGGGGCGGCTGAGAGATGCCCCAACGGATCTGTCACCTGGGAGTGACACAATCCAAAACGCCCAAGCTCTTCCTATACCTGTCCCTTATGACCAGCTGAAGTTCTTTTAAATTGTGCTTGGTTCTGTTACAGCAACTGAAGGAGTCAGGTTAAAGCTTAAACAGTTACTATTTTATTGTTACAGGGTAAGCTTAGTTGTTAAATGCTACTGCTGTGTTACAGATAACACAGTCACTACAAAGGACAGGACAGAAATTACACTAATAAGTCACTTACAGGTACCATGAAACCCTTTTGGTTCTCTGAGCTCTTATTAAATGCATGCAAAATAGACACCTAGCAGGTATATATTCTCACCCCTGCGTTCCAGACTTGGCGTGGCCAGCGTCTTTCTCTCAATCCCTTGGGAAGAAGTAGGGCGAGGTTGGGCGTCCCACAGACCTCGGGAGACAATCAATACCTGCCAGCAGGTGTAGATGATTGGAGTTCCAATGGGGTGGGCTACTAAACCCCTCTTTATACCCCTGGGTCACGTAGGCTTCTTCCTGGTCTCAGGTGGCCAATAAGGAAAAATGGCTTTGAATGCCAAGTTTCCCACGAAGGGTGCAAAGCATAATTCACACCTGGCAAAATACAGACAATGGGCACCTCTGGTATGTGATGGGCGAAGATTCCTCTCCTGGGACAGTGCAGGCATGTCAATTACTGGTACTAGCCATTAGGGCGACGGGAGGCCCCGGGCCGTCAGCTAGCCCATTTACTGTCTGGTTTCTGTTTATGGTAGAGTCAGGGACAGGCAGCACACCTGCGTTCCCAGGGCATCAAAGGCTGACTGCCTTTCTCTTGCTCTCTGGGGGGGTGGGACAAGATGGGGTTCATGTCTGGCTACAGGGTGGCGTGAAGGTAGGCGACCAGGACTATCGAGGCCTCCTCGGCGCTGACAGTGCGCCGGAGGAGATACGTGCACCAGTGAGCCCGCGCCACGGTGCCCGATCGAAGTTGACTTCTTTGAAGGGGACCTTCCGCGGGACTTCTTCACCCTCTTGGACAGAGGAGAGTGAGACCGGTGCCGAGACCTCGACGCCGACGCACGGTGCCGGTGTGGAGCCTCCTGTGTGGAAGCCGGTGCGCTGTGCACCTCAGGTTGCTCCGGCGGCACCAGTTGAAGCGCTGTCTCCATGAGGAGAAGCTTCAGGCAGGAAACCTTTTCTTTTCTCGTACGGGGCTTAAAGGACTTACAGATCTTACAGGCAATTGCCAGATGAGCCTCACCCAAACACTTAAGGCAACTGTCGTGTGGGTCGCCCCTGGGCATAAACTTCCCGCAGTCAGCGCACGTCTTGAAGCCTTGCGGCCCTGGCATTCCTTACCTCCAAGGGGGAAGGAACAAAACAAAGAACCTAACCATCTAACTACAAGAACTATTTAGAGACAAATGTGAGAACGGGAACCATTAACTAACTAAGAGACTAAGAGAGATAGAGACGCTCCAACGACCGTCACGGCGGTAAGAAGGAACTGAGGTGGGGCAGCGCCGGCAGGGGTACTTATGCCCCGCCATGGCAGCGCCACTCCAGGGGGTGCCCTGCCGGCGCTACGGGTACCGCTAGGGAAAACGCTCCGGAAGACGCGGTGCACGCGGTGCGCACACCTACTTCGAATGGACATGAGCAACCACTCGAAGAAGAACAACTACTTTCTCTTATTTTTTTCTCATTCCTGTCATAAGCACAAGCAATGATACCATGTAGTTACAGTACCAAGCATGACCACAGTTTCAATGTATACACCTTACATTCAGAACATAAAAGTAATCAGCATTTATCTTCAAAGCAAAAGTAAGCAGTGATATATGCACAAATTACTTTTCAGGTTTTTTCAATTCTGTACTCTTTAGTAATAGATCAGACTTCTTCCAGAAGTGATTTTGAAAACTATGGTAACAGTACTTGAATTAAATGCACTTAGGGTCTGTTTCAGTTCTTAGAGGTACTCTATGTATTAACAATAACAAGGATGGCTGTAGGATGCAGGACTTGATCCTGCAAGTTCTGTGCATGCCCAACTCTGACTGGGCATAATCAAGGCCCAGTCCTCTGACAGTCTGATCACCTGCCTTAGGCAATGGGAGTTAAAGAAGCTCAGTACTACTCCAGAGACATTCAGCACATACAGGCCTAAATGACATTTTGGAACCTGAGAATGTGATCAGCTACCATCAAGTTTCCTTAGGTAAGAAACAATTTAAGAGGCCAGCGGTTTATTATTATGAACTGCGTGTCTGTGAAAGGTGCCCATCTGACAGATTATGAGGTCTGTGATAACATAGCTACAGTAGAGATTGTGTTGACAAATGTAATTTTATTACATAAGCTACAGAAGGCTAAGAATGCCTATGAAAAATGTATTTTGTTTGCATATATGATATAAGAAGCTATTATTCTTCAAGAAGAAACCCACAGAAAATATATCATCTGATTTTTTTCCCCATCAATTTACAAAAGGAATGTTCTTCGTTGTTTCCATGAGTCATCAGCTGACCTTTAAAGCTGCCAGAGAAGTCTGACAGTTTTGTCAGGCAAGGGTTTTTTTTTGTTTTACTGTCCTTTCATTTTATGTAATTTCAAGGTTATTGTTGAACAATGTTTATATGAGTGGAACCATCTAAGATCAACCCTCTCCTGCCAAAAAAATTTAGACAAGTTAATCTATGCAGGATTATCACTTCTTGTGGCACAAGGACCAAAACAAATTGAAACCTGCTGCTTGAAAATTATTAAGAATGAGCAACCTTCCCAGTTCTTTCAGGTAAAACCCCAATTCTTCATCCCTCCCTCTTCCCTGGGCCAGTTATCCAGATTCTAAATCTGTTCTTTCATTTGATTGTGTGTTGTAATTCTACCAGTACATAGTTTTTTTCCCTCTAACTTCATGCTACTTTCTCCTACTCACGGAGTCTCTCGCTTTCGCTTTCTTTGATAGCCTAGTCTACCATGTCTAACACAGAAAAAGCTTTTAGTAAAAACAGCATTTACAGTAGCTTGGCTCCAAAACATCTCTTTCTTTCTTGGAAGTATGCTTAAGATTTTCTTTGTCAATATTCTAGAAGCTTTGTGTTCCCCCTTATTTGTTTTTTCTTCATCTTATTTACATTTTCAAAACTATAAAATAACTAACCAGTTCACAGGAGTATCATTGGTCCCCCTGTTTTTAAAGAAATGCCAATGGCTCATATTCTCAAAGTTAAAAAAAAATCTCCACCAGGTAGAGCACATATTCACGGGACTCTCTCTTTACTCTTCTGGGCTCAGTCAGTAAAGCATTTCAGCTCACTTAAGCACTTTACTGAATCAAGGTCCTATTGCAAAATCTCTCTGTTTTCAAAACACAGGAGTGACAAGTTTGTTAAGTACAAAAATTAACTCAAGATCACATTTTTTTTAAAAACAATCCTTTATCTTATTTCTGTGGCACACAGGATACAATATATTGTTTTATCCAGTACAAAAACTGTGACAATTTGTTCAAAAAAAGATAGGAAGAGAAAAAGATTAAAATTCAACAAATTATATGCAATTTATTTTAATTTCAGTGATTAGTGTGAAAATTGTAAACAAGTCGAGCCAAATTCTGCCTTGTTTACCATTGCAAATCTAACAGCATTACATTCAGTGGAATTACTTCAGTTTTATCACAAAAATTGATAGCAAAATGTGGACCTTTGATTGAAAACATTCTATAGCTTTATGCACATTACAAGAAAATACATTTCCATTTTTAAAATAATTTCTATCTAATATAATCCTCTACGGTAATGAAAGGGTAACCCTTGTAAAGAAATAGTGGCCAACTCTGTAAACTTACTCTTTATTCTTACTCACTGAAACAAACGCAGAGAAAACAATACTCTGCTCCTAAGAGTAACGGTTAGCACATGGTATTCCAAGCCTTTTCTATCTTAAAACGTATTTTGGGGAAGGTTTTAATTAATTTGGATTTAGGTTGCTGCATCCTGGTTTGAAAATAAAAGATTCTAAGAGAATTTTAAATAAAATAATTTTTTCTTGTGAAAAATAATGAGTCTGAAGTTCTTGACATTACATGAAACAAAGTAGAAGATTACAAATCAGCTTAAACTTTGTTCAGGGATTAATTAAACTGCATGGTTAAAAAAATCATTCTGAACTTTGTTCATGTCATGTTTATTTTTATTTGCTTTAGCTAAATGAGCAAAGATACCAGTAATTCTTCCAGAAGAAAAGCAAATATTGTAAATAAGAGATGTAGTGTCATTGATGTACTATTTCTGCATATAGAACAATTTAAAAATTAAGGGAACAAAGTCAAAGCCAAAATTAGAACACAAGTTCCTGATTCTGCTAGTCCTGGGCTTAAAACACAAGAGACTATACGGCCTTTCTTTGGACTTGAGGGGAAATCCTGCCTCCACTGAAGTCACCAGGGGCTTTGCTACCAGCTTCAAAAAGGCCAGAATTTCACCCTTGGTCTCTTGGTTTGAGCACCGAAGAACATCCCTGCTCTAATCTCACAGACACTGAATCTGTTTGTGGCCTTTAGCAGGTCATCTAATTTATCTGCCTCAAACTCCAGCCCTGAAGGTGTTGGTGATGGTGGTCTGGCTGCTCTCAGGGTGGGAAGGGACATGGGTGGGACTGGAACCCACAATCACAAGCTCTGGAATGTTTCATAGAAAAGCAAAATAAAAACAAAAAAAATCAATCTACATGGCATGTAGCCAATTGTGCATTACATATGAAATCCCTCCTAATCCTGTGCTAAGATTTTTTTTTTTTTAAGAAAAACAAAGATCATGAAGATTATAAATAATTTTCCTTAAAATATAGATTAAGAATGTTTAATGACTGAAGTAATCTCTGTTGAGATGCCCCATCTCCTGGAAGCTTAAATTTATTTCATGACAAGGGCATGTGCCTATTAGGTGTTATTTTGTGCACATGAGATATGCAAATGGAAGAGAGATTAAGTACATGAAAGGACAGCTGAATGCTCAATTAAAATAGGATTTACAATTCAATTTAATAAAAAAAGAATGTGTTATAGAAGATCTTGAAAGAACACTAGTAAAAATCAAATTAAAAGCCATTTCTGGACAACAGTCAAGAGATATTTTTTTAATCAAGTTTCTTTTTGTCATTCAACTTTTGGAAGAATTGGATCAGAATATTTTTAAATTAATTTTTAATTAAGAAGAGCTACAACTTCAACTGCTTAAAAAGCAACCGCCTGACAAACTACAGCAGGTAAGAAAAGATTTCTGCTGCTCTAAGAAAACATTATTAAGATTTTCTTTTCAGGAAGTGAAGGTAAGATGTGATCCCACCAAAAATATCTGTCCTGTTTAAATGACAGGTCCGCATGTGAAAAGATTAATATTAAAGAGATAGAAAATAATTTTAGACCTTTGTTTTGGCACCCGAGTAGTGAAGCAAGATTGGTACTAGAAAAATTACATTCTTCATGCCAAAATGTGGTCCTTTTATGGCATACAAATGCAATCAGATTTATCCAAACTAAAACCAGTTCATGCATAAAAATGCACAGAAATGGAGGTCTGATCTTGAAAGTGGCAGCTGGGCATCTTCCATTCCAATGCATCATCCTTAACTGAAGGAAAAGCTAAACGGCTAGAAGGTCTTTTCCCCTTCTTGATTTTTGTAGAGATCAACATCTATTAAAAAGTACATTACATAACGGAGGGTCAATTTTGTCCATTCCAGGGCTCCCATACTATTGTATGAATATTGGCTAGCCTTGTGCTATTCACATGCTCCCAACTCCTCTATGGTACACTAACTGTGCAAAAAGAAACATGTTGCAATTACAATGTGCATTGCATCACAACACTGCTCTGAGGGGAGAGCACGCTATTTCCAAACTTCATATCCTCTGGCATTCCACTACCCAATCAAGCTGCTAATGATGAATGAAGGTGGGTGCAGAGAGGCTAACAATGATGAGAACAACACATGTGTAACTGTATAGATACCGCTCTTATTTGCCCAACTACTCAAGAGAACTTTCACAATCTGGCTGCCCTACAAACCATGAAGCAGAGGCAGGCCTATATCTCACATATGGTATGTCAAGCACATAGATCTTGATTACATACAAACTTTATATTGGAGGTGCTTTTCTCTTAACAACTTATGTGAATTCATACAGGTAACTGCCATTAACAGTAGAAGGAATTACATGTGATCATTTCTAGTCAGGGAAACAGACACTTGTTAGTTGTACTAAAATATTGCTTATTAAAAATACTTCACAATCTATAGTGGAAGAAATTAAAGGTGTCTCCTTTTCTGTATTTTGTTTGTTGCCAGTACAGTGAGTGAATTCCTAGCTCTGCTGAAGGCAATGGCTAACTTCCTCTTGCTTTCAAGAGGGCCCATAATTTCACTTCATATATACATTTACACAGAGATGGTTATAGAAATATTGGCTCAAATTACCCACAATGACCCCTGGACACAGTGCTGAAAATGAATAGTGCTGAGCTCTGTCCAGCTGGTCTCTCAAATACAGTGAAGAAATTCAGCCATTCAGTGAAGAAGCTGTAAGTGGCTTTGCAAGTGTCCATCTTGCCTCACTGCCACATTGAGGCAGACACAGGGAACAAAATGGTGCTGATGAGAATGGATCAATCTCTCAAGATGTGTGATGATTTCATAGTCAGGGAGAGCAAGGCTGGTAATATTAAGGCCCAACATGTGAGAGACCACCTCACGGAATTCTGCCAGCTGCAAAAGCAAACAAACATATCAAGACATCTAGACAAGGGGAAGGCAAGAAAAATATTTACACTGATACATATTCAGAGAGAAGCAGTCCTTGCATCAGGGATTCAAAAATTATATTCTGTTCCTTATAACTGTAAAGATTTGTCATTCTTCTTCTTCTGTATGATTAGAGAGTTTAGTGAACTAGACCGTTTGGGTGACTGGAAATAAGACACAGAGTCTTCTTTAGGTTTGATAGAAGAAAAAAGTTATCATATGAAGGCTGTTGGACAGCCAGTATTTGAAAACATGTGATTTTGGTCCAGTTCCAAGTGGACAGGTGTACTCAGGAAAAGTCACCATCCGTGTTGTTGGCAGTCACAGCAAGAAAATTAAGACAGCAGTTATGACACTGCATACACACAGGTGACATATCTGAATGAGTAAAGATGGCCCAGTTCTATGTAGTCGCTTTTTATAGCAGAAAGCACACCTTTAATAAAAGTTATAAGGCAACATTCAGACATGTTATCTCCCTAATTAGATTTTCTAACCAAGCTAGTTTAGCACTACGGAAAAGCAGAAGCATCAGCAGATGTGTCTAAATTTGTAGCTTCTAACGTCCATATTGTCTGTTAAAAGCTGCTGTCCTACGCCAGCCTCTCCCAGCTAGTCTTTAAAATTACCTCCAACTGACTGGAATCAGCCAAGAAATAAGCCCAGACAAAGGGTGAACTGGAGTAGCTATCTATGACACTCTCCATTTCATATGGCGTGAGAGCAACTTAATTCCTTGGCACTTTGAAGAATTGTGTCTCTCACCTTTTGTTTATATATCAGTACCACAATGGATGTTCTCCATTCTCTAGGGCATTTTCTTCTCTTTCTAAACTGTACATAGGATTTATCTGAGCCATTCTGCTCCAAGCAAGACATACTGTAGCATTAAGGAAATATTTCAGTATATATCTGCAATACTTCTTATGTTGCTTTTGTTTCACTTGTCACTTTGTTAAAATAGTGAATAAAAATGTCTCTTGTTCAGCACTTTTGCAAGGAGAGCAATGTTGCTATTTGGTCAGCTTGTTATAATGTGCTTTGCTCAGCAGGGCAGTCAGCTCTCTTTTCACCTCTTTCTTGAACATACAGATTTTCCTGTTTTCTTTCTATAACTCATTAGCAGGAAAGCTGATGTTCTTAACGTATTTATCTATTGACCTGAGACAAGGCGGGAGATGTAATATTTTTGATTGGACCAACTTCCGTTGATGAGAGAATCAAGCTGTTGATGTTAGTTCAGTCAAATATATTACGTCATTCACCTTGTCTATCTAATATACTGAGACTGACATGGCTACAATTGCACTGAATATCCATTGACTTGTCAGAGGCAAACGTCAAGGTTGCACTGCTGAAAATGGTATCCAGTAAAGCAACAGGTTCAGACAACGTCATGGCCAATTGATGAAAGACTTTAGAGCAGTGTTTCTTAAACTGCATTCCGTGGCACTCCAGCGTGCCGCGAGGCAGTCAGAGGTGTGCCTCGGAGAACAACAGAATTCAAAATGGCCACCCTTACAGGGGCAGGTGATCTTTTTGTGTGTGTGTGGTTTTTTTGTTCAATAACTTTCCACCGACCCTTTTCTTCCCCTCAATAACCCTTCTTCCCTCCAAACTTTTTTTTGTTTTGCTCAACAAAAAATCCTTGGTGTTCCTCATAAGAAAAAAAAACTGTTGTTTGGTGTATCTCGGTCTTAAAAAGTTTAAGAAACACTGCTTTAGAGAGATTGGTCTATGCTATATTTGTGCTCCTAATTTGAGACATTGTTGTATTGGTTTCATGGACATTTATTGAAATGTCATAATAAAATATTTACAGTGACCAGAAAAAATTATGAAAATTCTGCTTCAACTTTGCAATCAATCATGACCATCGTGACAAATCTCAAAGGGTCGTGGCCTCAAGAACCACCCGGGTTTCTCTCTGGCAAGAAGTTTGAGTGGTCAGGTTGAATATTCAGCATATGTCCATCCCTGACAATACTGTTGTGCCACCAAAGCTATGGGTTCCCACATGAGCTGTGGCAATGTCAATTACATTCCATGGCGCACACTTCAGAATGCATTGGTTTTCCATTCTTATATGTCCATACCATATCTGAATTGGTGCTGATGGAGAGATTGCTGGATTTGGCTTGGAATATCCTCAGTTCTGATTTTGCTCTGCCACTTGTTATGGAACAAAAATATCAGTATGGTATCCTTCACATTTCCTCAATGTCCATATTCCAATTTCATACAAGACAATTGGTATATTTGGTTCTATAGATCTGCAGCTTTGTAGAATGCTTCATGTCACTATGCCCCATAAAGGACATTCGGGGGCTGGAAACATGATAGCAGCAGCTACTATATATGAGCATCAGCATCTTTCATGCAGTCTCCTTTGTAAACAATGCCACATGGAAAATTAAAGCAAGACTTTCCTGGTGAAATATCACAAATTGAGATGAATATTATGCACTAGATGAGCTTTAATTTAAGGCTTTCTTCAGACACAACAAATTCTTTAGACACAATAAATCCTGTATCTTTGCAGGGGCTTAGACTAGATCACCCTTGCAGTTTCTTCTAACCCTATGATGCAATTCTGTGATTCAGCAACCCTCAGTCAAAGAAGCAAGTTGAAAAGGGTCTTATTTGGCACAGATAACAGGAAGAGCCAAAGGCATCTTACTGTACACAGACCAAAAACTGAACTGAGTACTGTGAAAATTACATTCCTATTAAATAATAAATAGTGCGTTTCAGTGTTTGAACTGAATCAATGTCAAAATAAAATATATTTAGGATTTTGTCTGTGGCTGATTGTGTATAAAAGCCATGTAGGGATCTCAACAATACTCTGGATTCTCTTTAGATTTATTAATACAGATGATATTAGATTTAATAAAATGTAAATATTCTTGAAAGTACAAGAATGGGAATGTTTTTATTTTCACAGTGCAAATAGAGAGCTCTAAAGGTACGTCTACACTGTAGACCTATTTTGGGATACTAAAAGCATCCTGGAATAGCTATTTCATGTCTATTGAAGCAGCCCATATTTTTGAAATCTGTTTTCAAATCAGGGCAGCTTATTCCGACATCCTGGTAACCCTCATTCCACATTTGAGCTTTCATGGGCTAAATCCACTTCTTCAGATGACCGGAGTATAAGAAGTCCAGATCCAAGAATAAATAAGGGGGGGAGGGAGGGGAAGAAAAAGACATACAGTGAGTAGATAGTTCAAATAGTTACAAGAGGTTGTTAAGAACCATTAGCACCTCCACTGTTTGGTTGGTGGGTTAAGTCATTAAAAGGTGGAAGGTAGTGTCCAAACTAGACAATCTCTATGGAAAAGAATTAACGGACACAAATCAGATATCCAAAAAGACAATACACAAAAACCTGTTGGAGAATACTTTCATCTTCCTGGACACGCAATAATGGATCTCCAAGTCGCCATTTTGTTTCAGACCAATTCCACAAGCCAAATACACAGAGAAGGGTTGGAACTTAACTTCATTCACAAGTTTAATTCTTATGCAAATGGGCTGAACTGGGATACAGGATGCTCACACATGGGCAGGAGGAGACTTCACAAGTGCTCCCTCAACCCCCAGGCCAATCAGAGTCTGTGAGCAGGGAAACACAGAAGTGTCCTAGCTCTGCCCCTTCCGAGGTAGCCTGAGGCCACATCAAAAATTTCTGAAGTGACTCCCGGTCAAAAATTATTTCCCACCCCCATCTAAAATTATTAAAAAGAAAGGATGAGCTGTTGTGGCTAGAACCCCCATCTTATTTTGACTAATTTATTGACCTGTGCATCAAGATGGTCAATTGCTTATCAGAATGCCACTGGGAAAGGATGATGGCTTCTCTGTGTGCACCCAATTTAACAGCTACAGCTAGCCGGCATACAGCACCCACCTACAGCCTGAATTCATGCAGGTTGATATAGCCTTGACCTCCGAAATGGAGAAGGACTGACATTAGGCACCAGGTTTCTGTTCCTATTGTGAGGAATCTAGAAACTTTGCCTCAGCTTGTCTCATAAAGGCCCATTTGGCATCTTGATCAGAAAATGCCAAGTCCCAGCCTCCACATTGGCCTACCAGTACCTAAATCAAGGCCCCACACAACTTCAGCTTCTGTTCAGTCCATGGCATTCTGTCACATCTGAGGTCAGCATGAATGTACTGTCTGACTCTGGTATCTCTGGCAGTTTTATGGACTTGGGTTTCAGTCAGATTTAGAGGACTCATAAGACCTTAGCTGATCTAATAGAACTCTTTGACAGATCACTCCTATCATCAGGTCCCGTGCCTCATTTCTGAGTACCATTACCGACTCTTGTCTCTGGCTCTAATACCGTGGTCACCAACCAGTAGATCGAGATCTACCGGTAGATCTCGGAGGCTCTAAGAGTAGCTCTTGAGCCCTCTCTGAACTGCGCGCCTGCGCAGTACATTTACATTAGATTTCCTCATTTGAGGAGCAGCTATTCACCGAGCAACAGCACAGGTGAGTAGCTGTGAGGAATGGTGGGAATTTTTTTTTTAAAGTAGCAGTATAAGGATTAGGGATGGCAAGTGATGGAGAGGAGGAGAATAGAGAGCGCGGGGCTTCAAGGAAGGGGCGGGGTGGTAGATCTTGGCTTGGTCTGTCATTTAAAAAGTGATCTTGGGTGTAAAAAGGTTGGAGACCACTGCTCTAATCCTTGGATTAATTCTTAGTTCCTGACTTCAGCCTTGGCCCATTGCTTTGACTACCAGCTCCTATCCCTAGCACTAACCAGCAAGCAGTGCTCAGGCTCTAACCACTAGGTCAGACCATCAGTGTAACCATTCCTGACACATGATTTGTTAAAAAATGTTACATTTGATATATTTTTAAAATATTTTTGAATTTTCCATTAATCTGTCACCTACTCATAGCAAAGTAACTAGATTTTACTAGGTTGATAAACATGAAAAATTGAATAAATAATAAAAAAGTTGGCATTCTAAACTATGTTTTAATCTAACTTCTCCAATACATGGCATAAACTGAATACTTAGTGGCATACAGTGACACAAAAAGTCTCATTTGGTACTCTTTTGGGACAAATAGCATAACTAACTGATGACTTTGCCACTCATGACTGATGCAGCCATCCCAAACTCATGTCACTAAAACCTTAATAATAACAACATATACATAAGTTTTTTAAGAATGGCAGGATAATTAGTCCATATCTAAATTCTCCCTTTAACAATTGTCTATCACATTTACACCTACCTGCCTTTCTCTTTTTGAAACCTCTGCCAGAGTTGTTTTAAGTGCCTTCAGTTCACTAGTAACTGCTTCTAGCATGCTCCTTGCCTTTTCTTTATCTTCCTTTGCTTCGTGCTCCGTAAACTGTAGTTCTGATTTGACGCAGATCAACTGCTTCTCAGCCTTCTCCTTCATCTTCTCCAGCTTCCCTTGGGACTTGTTTAGTTCCTCAATGGTTCTAGTTTGCTCCAGAGTTTTGACCTGCGAGATCAATGGCAAGGAGACTATTAATTTCTCACACTGCCATTAATAAGAATCATATAATGAAGATGGATTTTCAGGAATATATATTTTTTTCTGTTAAGCTGAAGATAGCTTTTTGCTACAGTTGAGCTACAAACATTTTCACAAGAAATTCAGAATTAGGGAAAAGCTAAAACTGTGTTTTATTTAAGTTCAAAACTTTTTCTTCCAGGTTTGATAGAATAGATTTTCTGAGGACTATTAAAACTGTGAAAAAAATGTGTTCAACTATACCCATGATGAGTATTCCACATGCCTTAACATTAACTCCAACTCACCAGGATGGTATTTATAGATGCTATGTAGTGCATACCCACAGGTCAATAAGAGTTTTCAAAATATCAAAGATCTCGACTTTATTATGTTCCTTTCTTTGCCACAGACAGATTCCAATAGTTTTCCATTAACATATGTTATTAATACTTCATAGTTAGTATTCTGTGTTTACAATTTTTACTGTTTTTCACCGATAAATTATTAGGTTTTTTAATTACACGAGTTCCATTTTTACTGACATTTACCTCCTTCTTTCTCTCTCCTTCTCTACTTATATATGCACTTTATTTTTGTTAAGCGTCAATGCTTTCAATGGGAATGAGGTTGTTTCAAAAAAATGAAAATAAAAAAAAAAAAAAAAAAAAAAATCAATCTGGGGACACACAAAAGTGAGAAGCAAACTAAAAACAAACCAATTTTCACTGATGTAGCCCCCAACTGAGAGACCTCACTCCCCTTGCATTCAAGGTGCTCACAGGATGGAAGGGAAGGACAGGGCCAAGGTTCAGGGCTTTCCCCAGGCCATGTTAGGTGAACTTTGCAAGAGACTATTATTGTTATGCCAGAGGGTTCCAATGATTTGCCCCTAAAGATGAAATTTCAAATCTGAGAACAGAATTCACTACTTCCATGAACAAACCTAACCCTGACAATGTTAAACCTGATGTGCTGGCTTTTGAAACAGTCCTCAAGGTAGACTTCCCAACTTCAGCAAAGTGGCGCGGCAAGCCCTGGAATCTACTGATGAACAGTGCTTATTTTCAAAGTTGGACTATCTCCAAGGTAGCAAGAGGCTCAATACGAGTGAGGATAATTTGAAGAACATTATGCAACATATTTAAACCAGGATTTCTTGAAAAATTATTAGCTTGTAGGGGCAAAATACTTGTGTACATAAAAAGGTTTAATTATAGTGCTGTAAAATTATGGTTTTTTTCTTGATTTTTTCTTTTTTTTCCTCCTACTTTTTCATTTTTGTTTTTTCATTATTTTAATCCAATTTAATCCTGGTTTTAATGTTTGGAAAACACTGAGATATAAATCCTGGGATTTAAAAAAAAAAGCTGAAAATGTAGAACACTATTCATGACAGAAAATGAGCTCCAATTGTATTCGGCATTTTGCCTCCATTGGTATACAGAAATGGTAAAATTTAAGTTTAAAATTAACCCACTTTAAGTTCATTGGTGTCAGATAGTTTGGCTTTGAGATCAGTGTTAGAGTCTCTAGCCAGGGCCAGCTCCTTCTGTAACCTCTCCATCTTCTTATGTAACTTTCTAATAGTGAGGTTGGCCTCATCCCTCTCTACAGCCAGGGCTGTTCGCACTTGCTTCTCCTCTTCCAGCTGGGATATTTTCTGCCGCAGAAGGTTCATATGTAGCTCTTTGCTCTCAAGCTTTTCTTTCTGAGCTTTCAACTAGTTTTAAGAGAACAAGGGGATTAAAATGAAAAACAAACATACACCCAATTTTACTACCAATTACATGAATTGCTTGCCATTGTAAGTTTGATCCTTTTGAAACACAATTCTGCAAGTCTGAACTTCGGATAGTTTCCTGCAGATCTCTACACAACTTGTCTATATTTGTACTTCATCTCTGTCTGATTAACCTACATCTCACTTCTTACTGCTTCCCCATGTCACCTCCAACACTGACCCTATCCTATATGATTAAATACTTATGCATCATGCATAATACCTGAGCTTGCTTTTATGATTACCAAACCTACATTGTTCTGCAGCTTAGCCTACCAATGGGTGAAGAGCTCAATCACAGCCAAATCACACCTATATATCAGATTTTATCAATGACATAGCTGAGTCTGAAAGTTTAAAATCAGGTATTTACCAAAATACTAGTTCAGTTTCAACTTTTAGTGAATGTGATTTCTATACTTTGCCAATGAAAGGATATACTCAATTTAAATATTTTTGATATGCTATAACAGTAGTTTCTAGTTTAGCTGACCTACTTTTGTACTGTTTTATTATGTGGTTTGGTTGCCCAAGGTTGCAAACATATTTATCAGCATCTCTTCAGATGACAGACTATCTTTGTAAGTGTTTGTACACAGTGGGGCCTTTGCAAGTTATTTTAATTGCAATACAGTTGCAATCATAATGCTCTTTTCTATAACAGACAGAAGATGAACTCTTTTGCCTACCTTCCTTTGTAAATTGTATGCCATGGTCTTGTTTTCAATCACTGCATCACTTTCCAGTTTGATCAACTGCTCTGCACGGGCCAGAATTGCATCTAGACTTATGTCAAACCCAATCTCAGCTGCTACGCTGTTAAGGTTCATTTTATCTGAAAGCTGTTCCAAAAACGTAAGATACTGAAAAAATAAATGGGAAAATGGGAAGATCATTTAGAGACCTTAAAGTTCAAACCATTTTCCTTTATGCTGGCAGCCATCTAAGTGTAGCCAACAGTCTCCATTTCAGAAACATGAAGCATGTACAGTAAAACTCCAATAGTCCGGCATCCAGTAGTCCGGCACTCTTGATAGTCCGGCATCAAAATGGCAAGAGCCTAGTGAGTGAGCTTCAGCAAAAAATGAGTCACAAGGTAACAGCTGAACTGAGCGAAAAGGGTAAAAAAGGGTTAAAAAAACTAAAACGTTACAGTATACTGTATTCAGTATGTACAATAAAAAGGGTTAAGAACGCTTTATATACAGTATATGCTATATGGGTTAAGAACACTTTATATACAGTATATGCTATATACAGTATATACACATAACCACCTTATAGTACCTCCTGATAGTCCGGCATATCTGATAATCCGGCACCACCTAGGTCCCATAGGTTCCAGATTATCGGAAGTCTACTATATTTAGTATCCTCTTAGAGTGAATACAACTTTTGAATATTTCTCAAACTGACCTTTCTTCACAGTTATTTGCTAGAAAAGAGTTGAATCTATTGTATTTAGTACTTTAGTGACACCAGGGATCCTACAAATCTGCTTGCCACACAAAAATATGGAATTTTGCATTTTTAAAGAATCTTTAGTTTTTACATTTTGTTACAAAATAAAAATATAGGCAGTGGAACTCTGATTTTCCTATCAAATTGAGACTAGCGCTAGACCAGATAATCAAGAGAATGAAAGGGGTGTGGACTGTCAGCAGTGGGCAGCAGGACTGGGGCTGTCAGTTTAAAGATTGTAAATATAACCAATGGAACATTGTGTTCAATCAATACGTATCTATATTGGCTAGGGAAACTAAAGTTCAGCATTTCATTTAAATCACGAAAAACTATGGATTTTTATGGGGGTTTTTATTTGGAATATTTTGGGATTTCTATCACAGCAAACTTAGATCCCTAGTAATAGCTTATTGTGATATATGTCAAGCACAACAAATCTAATAGACTACAAGTCGAATCTGGATTATGTGGTCACACCTGACATGGTTGTGTAGTATTTTGCTTAATTGCTCTGGAATGAGAAATGACATTGTAAATCCAACTACATTTTGTCCCTAGCTTATGTAGGGTGAGGTTTGAAACAACATGAATACTTCTTGAGGTAACTCTGCAAGAAAAAAAACCACAGATCGCTAGATGTGAGGTCAGGTGTTGGGGAGAATATACAGACAGTGTGATAGTGGAGTGAGGAGCAGCACGTATAGTAGGCTGAAGAGATCTACTGATTCAATTTGTTAGATCTTTCTTAACCTTCCATCCCCTTCTGTATGCGACTTCTTCTAGGACCAGTCTGAATTCTGGGTGGAGACAGAGATGCATGTCACCCTCTAGTTCAGAAAACTTACTGCATGGAATATTCTCCTCCTAATCAGGCAAGAGAGACAAAGAATCCACAATTTTGCTCAAGCAGGGAGATTAACTTTTAGACCTACTGCTAGGCTGAGGCCCTGCAAGCATTTCTCCCCTAGAGCTTGTCTTTAGGGGTATGTCTAGACTACATGCCTCTGTCGCCAGAGGCATGTAGATTAGGCTACCAGACATAGGAAAATGAAGCGGCGATTTAAATAATCGCCGCTTCATTTAAATTTACATGGCTGCCGCGCTGAGCCGACAAACAGCTGATCAGCTGTTTGTCGGCTCAGCGCGGCAGCCATGTAAATTTAAATGAAGCGGCGATTATTTAAATCGCCGCTTCATTTTCCTATGTCTGGTAGCCTAATCTACATGCCTCTGGCGACAGAGGCATGTAGTCTAGACGTACACCATATATAGCACTCGGGGTGCAGGAGGTGCTGCAGCACCCTCAGGTTTTGGGTATTCTGCCACTCTGACGACAAAGGCATGTAGTCTAGACGTACGCCATATATAGCACTCGGGGTCCAGGAGGTGCTGCAGCACCCTCACGTTTGGGGTATTCTGCCATATACCCCTATTGCTCAGGTTCCCACCTGCAGGGGCTCTTCTTCCAGTCCCGGGTTCTACTCAGCTGCTGTCCCTCTGCTCAAGGGTTCAGTGGCTGGTTCCCAGCCCCACTCAGATGCTGGCCCCACATGAAGGGTTCCGCCCAGCCACCGGGCCTGGGGTCCTGATCACTGTTCCCACACACAGGGTCCTGGTTGACGGCCCCACTGTTGCACTTTAGTGAAGATGCCACTATGCCACTGGGAGAGCTTCTCCCATTAGTGTAGTTAATCCACCTCCCCAAGAGGCAGTATCTATCCTGGCAGTAGCAGCTCTCCTATCAGCATAGGGGTGAGGTCTGTATAACTACATCACTCAGGGATATGGATTTTTCACACTCCTGGGTGACAGTTATCTTGAGATAGGTTTATAGTGTAGACCTGGCCTTCATCACTAGGGCTTTCAAATTACTTCTAAAGAATATTTTGTTGAACATGTCTAGTGTTAGCAACTTCTCTGTCAGAACTCAGACTGGAAAGAAAGCATGGTTAGGAGGTGATAATAACTGCCACCTAGCAGGTCTTTGATCTATAGACAATCGTAAATTAGATTAATGCTAGGCATGTGCAAAGTGCTCTCTTTCAGGCTGACCACAATTAAGCCCTTTGATGTATGGAGACCGCTGGATGCTACAGAAGCGTCAAGCGAAGGCAAAATGGTGCATGTGAAAACCTGAGCAGAAGCTAAGACTTATAAATTTCAGTGATTACCTTGGACGGGTTGTAAATGAAGTGGCTAGGGGATTGTTTGGCAAGGGTCAGGGGGTGCACATGTGTCTGTTTATTTTTAAAAAGCCACCAGAGTGAAAAAACAGCAATTAATGTGACCCTGAGAGGGAGCAGAGAGATAGCGTTTCTTGGGCACAGGAACTGACCTCACCAGGATATACTTGGAAATGGCAAGCAAGAAAACTTCCTGTTTCTCCGGGATTCAGGGAAACGGGACTATGTATACGTGCTTTATAAATAAACTCAGCTGCACCAGAGAATATAACTGACTCAGATCATTCATTTTTTCCTCCTGATAGAAACAATTCTACTAAGCTAATCGCTTGGGCCAAAGGGGGTAATGGTGTTCAAGCACTGCTAAGAGCTCTTAGTTCCTTGCAGCACTGGGTCCAGTATGTTATCCTGCATGGACTCAGTCTCAAAATTACTGATCCCCACTCTTATTTCTGAATGCATTTTGCTGAATCTCTAAAACGTCTGTTCAAAGTTGGGCTAATGAACACTTAAAAAATGAAAAGCTGAAATCTCAGTCACTAATTCTGACTGCTTAAATTATGCACTGGAAAAATTAAAACTAGCCAGGAAAGATATCTTAAAACAATACTATTTGATTAGGCGCCATATGAAAGAATCAGAGGGGTAGCCGTGTTAGTCTGAATCTGCAAAAGCGGCGAGGAGTCCTGTGGCACCTTATAGACTAACTGAAGTGTAGGAGCATAAGCTTTCGTGGGCAAAGACCCACTTCATCAGATGCATGTAGTGGAAATATCCAGAGGCAGATAAAAATATGCGGGCCAGAATCAGGCTGGAGATGACGAGGTGGATCCAAGCAAGGAGGATGAGGCCCACTTCTAGTAGCTGATCATATGAAAGAACTACATGATGTCTCTTCATAGCTTGCATTATTAATAGCCAAGTGAAAATTAGCTTGCTATGGAGGTATAAGTGGTAGAAACCTTGCTGGACGTAGGAAAAGGAAGGTACCAACATTTTTTGAGTATAGACTTTTCAAATAAACCTGGAATATGAGAGCGACTGGAAAGTTTACTATGCATTCTGGTGAATTTTATTTTGTTTTATTTTCCTGTTATTTACCCTTATACTTTTCAGTAGCCAACGACATCAAACTATTGCAGACAAAGACCCTCTAGAGGTGGGTTAAATTTAGCAAGATTTTCTATATTAGCAAGACAGTGATAAAAAAGGTAGAGAACCAGTGTCCAGAGACAGCAATCTGGTAGACAACTCAAAATAGTCACTGGCTTCTCACGAAAACACTGATGCTGGACAGATGACCTAGACACTTACCTTTGTCTCTCTTCTCCACCTTGTTAGTTTAGTCCTTCAGATATTAGTTAATATTTCAAGCCCTTGTTTAAAAGTTATATATGGCCCAAAGCACCAGCATTTGAACTCCCTTAGTTTGAGCAATCGCTAAAATACAATAAATGCATTCAGTTACATCTCTGACTTGTGAAAAACATTCCCACAAATGGAAATAACCTATACTGTTACTTTTTGTTTCTCGAGCTTCAAACCATCTAGCATCACGTCTCCAGACACCAACTCCCCATCCAGACGCATGAATTGATCCTGAAGTGTCTCACATTGTTTTTCTGCTTTCCTGGCTTTTTGCAGAGACTCCTGGTGCAATCTGGTCTGATTCTCCAGCTGTTCAGTCAGTTTAGCTATTTGGGCTTCAAACTGGGACACCATCTGGGAAGCAAGAAACAAACAAGATAGAAACTGAATCAGACATGTTAGAGGCACAAAAAAGAAGCATCCCCAAGCTACAAAACAGAAGATGGTTTCCCACTTTAAAATAAATAAGATTTTGGGGGAAAGAAGGAAACAAAATGTGTGGTAGCGATCAGAAAATATGTTGTATGCACTGTTCTTGTAGCTATGTTGGTCCCAGGAAATTAGAGAGACAAGGTGGGTAAGGTGATATCTTTTATTGAAAGATAAAAGTCTCTTGGAGAGAGATACAAGCTTTCAAGCTTATGGAGTTCGTCTTCAGAAAAAATTACAAAAGCAGGGGAAAAAATGGTTAATAACTGGTTTGTAAAAGTTAATCTATTCTAGACACTCCTCAATCACTCCTGTACACACATTCACAATATACCTTACACTTTGTCCTAGGTCAGACAAAAGTTTTTCTATCCTGAAATGTGGAGTGTCTGTATTAACATTTACAAAGATGTTAGTTAACTTGAGCTAACTGGTAAAACACTTTAAACTAAAATACACCACAAACTCCAGCCTGCATATACACTGAAAAAAAAAAGAACATTTTAGAAAAACTGACTAATACATGTTAATTAAGTGGTGACTACAAACACATTACCTTCTAGTGTGGATAGCATTTAACAATTTTAAAAATGTGTTAGCTTTTTAAACACATATTATTAACCTGGTTAATAATAGAGAGCCTTGAATGCAAGAGGAACAACTGATATGTTTTTAAAAGATGCCTCCACTCAGTGTTAATGTGCTTTTAAGTACCACTTAATTAAAATGTGTTTGCTAAACGCATTTTTTCTAAAGCTGTTAAGAAGTAAACCTCACAATATAAAGCAAAGGTTGTTTATCTGTTCTCTATTAACTTTACAATACTTATGTGATTCATTAACCAATAAACTCAATGGAATGGAATTAAAAATGAACTGTTTAATAAACAGAAATAGAAACAAGATGTCTAATTACAGTGCTGCCAACTATTAAATTAATTGGTTATATTCAAAAAGTTACTTTTTCACCCCTCTCATTTTATTTGGTTTGCATTGCATGTTCATTTTTAACTCCACCCTTAGACACTTATCCAGCTCTCCCTTCATTTCTAGCATCTGTTGGCCTCATGTTTATAACTGGCCTGATTTCACAGCATGTACACACACAAAATTGCCATTAATTTCAGTGAAAGTTCTCAAAAGGTAGGGGCTGCAGCCTTGGGTTAGTGTTCTCTCTCCCTCCCCCAGTTCTTTGGGGGTGATTTGAGGGTATTATGGCTTCCCCGTTTGTTCTGCAGCAGTGCTTTTTATATCTAAGATAAAGATCCCTGCAACACCCACAAATCCTATGGAGTTTTCTCACCCACTGGGTTACTAGCAAAACAGTTGTGGCTAGTGAAAGTGGGGCTAGAGACACACTAACTGGAGAGATATGAGGGCAGCATCTTAAAAATGCTGTTCAGCCCAGCTTGCTGGCATATAAGGGGTCAGCTCTCAGTGCTGATTAACTAATCCTCTGGGCGGGGGGAACGGCACGTGCATAAATGTTTGTGTGTATGTGCTCATTCATCTGTTTCTAGGGCATGAAGAACCCACTGGTGGGGAACCACAATCCTGTGGGATAGTTCCATTGGGAGTGAACTTGCAGAAGGAAGACGTAGATGCTGTATGAGAACATAAGTGACACAAACAGCAAGCACATTGATAGAATTATTTAAAAAAAAAAAAAGCTCACTGAAGAGTAACACTTATAAATGAGCATACCCCAACGTAACAGACAAATCTGGTAACAGATTGGTAGAGAAACCCAGGCAGTACATGGCCCTAATCACATGGTACTTGTTAAGTAGTTGCTGCTGAGTGGGGGAACAGACACAGGCCTGAGCAAACGCTCTCTCTTCCCTTTTTAGCCTAAACTCCTTTAATGAGGTGTCTCTACCTTTCTCATGGAATATTTGGTAACATTCTGTAAGTTTTAAAATAAGAATCATGCTTAGAATAATGAGGACTGTGCAATAAGAAGTTAAGAATCGTGCCTTAAAAGTAAAGATTTTAGAGCAATACTGAGACTGCATGGGTAAATATCTCTAATGAGATAAGGGAAATAGAGATGGCTGAGAAAAAACCCCTCAGCTGCTCACTTGAGACAGGAGAAAATGACAAGTTAGAGAGATGGGTAATGAAGAAGGGGAAATATACCCCTGGGAAATGAAATGTTTTAAGCGTGAAACTCCCCTGACTGAAGCAAGTCTGAGCTTTGAACAATATTGCACAACTGTTAAGCCATGATATAGCGCAAAGGATGTGGCTGCTGCCTCGGCACTATTTTAGGCATGTCTGGACATGGTTGAAATGGTAAAGGAAAGGCAGGAACTAGAGCTGGAGAAAAAGCAGTTACAAAAACGTTTAAACAAGTGTGAGACAGATGGTGTTAATTTATAACAGAAATGTTTAAAATGGTGACTGTACTTAGAAATATTCAGGAGGAGAGGGACAATGCCAACAGGCATGCAGAAAAGGATAGGAAACAGTTAACACACAAAAACCGTGAGAAGAAGTTAGAGCAGCAACTCACTTCCTGGCAGATGAAAATAAGGCAGCCAAGGCAGCGGGAGGCCATCAGAAGTGTGAAGTCGAAATCACTAAATTATGTGCCCAACTTAGCACCCAAATGGGGGTGGTAGCAGCTGCAAGGTTAAGAAAAAATTGTGATTGGGAGCCCCCAGGAAAAATAGAGATACTCCCTGATGCTAACCCCAAAAGCCCATTCAACCTCAATTGGCTACACATGTACAATGTTGTCCCTGTTTTCACGAGGGACATTAAACTCATATTTGCAGGAGCAGATCTTCTCACAACAAAGCTGGTCATAGACATAAGAAGATAATCTCTGGGGGCGTGACTAGACTTCAGGGTTTTTTCGAAAAAAAATGGCCTTTTTTTAAAAAAAAACTTCCCCTGCATCTAGACTGCCACCACGTTCTTTTGAAATTAAATAGAAAGAACACAGCGGTTTTTTCGACCATGGTAAACCTCATTTTACGAGGAAGAATGCCTTTTTTCAAAAGTGCTCTTTCAAAAAAAGACATTCTTGAATGCAAACAGGGCTTTTTTGAAAGAGAGCATCCAGACTGCCTGTGTGCTCTCTTTCGAAAAAGTGGCTCGCTTTTTTGAAAGAAGTGGTTGTAGTCTAGACGCTCTTTTTCGAAAGAGGCTTTTTTGAAAGTATCTTTCGAAAAAGCCTCTTTCAAAAGAGCCTTGTAGTCTAGACGTAGCCTTAGTCAGGCCAAAGCTATTGCCATGAGACTGGAACCACTGAACCATGGCACAGCTATGGCATGACTGGGAAATGTACCCCTCTGCTGATGGCATGGACCTAAACCCAACCGGCTCAGTTATATACTTCTTCTTGTGTTGCAGATGCCCTTGATGCATAGGTTCTTGAGAGTAGACTGCTGCTGGATCCCGGGAATGGATGTTAAGGGCTCTCAAATATTACTACCTGCTTTTTCCCTCAGGAAACTATATATCATGGAAGAGCAGAAACCAGGGGAATCCCCAAAGCTTACCTAATTCAAATTAAAGATTCTTCCAGCGCTCTGATTCATTATCCCAGTAAGAAAAGAATAGGATAATCATGTTCTACTATCAGGGACCCAAATTAGTACAGAGCACTTATGCAGAACTAAATTCTCAGACAAAAGTGGCCATGGGGGCGGTGGATATAGAATGCCTAACCTGGAAGGAACTCGTGGCAAAAATCAAAGAGGCAGGGGATTTGCTGAGAAAGATTAGTGTCTTAAAAAGACATGTCAGCAAAAAGACTACCTTAAATCCAGTACAGGCTATTACATTTGCAAATAAGGTTCTCACTCTGCCTCTCACCTTCCCAATTATAATTGCCTTATCTCCCACAACCCTGGGCAGCACCAACCCAAGGAAACCCTTAGGAACATGATTTGGATGGAACTGGTAAAGTTACAGGAGGATATGAGAAAATATGGTTGGCTGCCCTCAGCTTTCTCATTAATGCTTTATCACAGGTCATGCAGAGAAAAGTTAATGAAGGGAGCCTACCTCGGCCTATTGCCCCAGTACAGAGTGAGTTCCCGACATCCATTTCATGCCCAAACTAGATTCCTGTCCTACATTCTGAGAAGTAGAGGGTCCTGAGGGAGTGGCCAATCAATAGAGGTGCCTAGTTCCCAACGGGCCTCCCCAGACAACAGCAATACTTCAGTGAGACATACCCACACACTGTGAGGGCTACAGTGAGGAACCCAGGGATATTTGCCCAATTGCTAGTAGATGCCAGAGCATGAGTAAATATTCACAGTCTTTGGTGGATCTCCAGAGGATGACCTACCAAAAAACATAAGTAGATTATCAAGGAAAGAACTGGAGACAACCCGGGTGACTCACACAAAGGAGCATCAGGAAAATCACCCAGAAGAAGCTCATGGAAACAACAGAGCTGATGCCTTAGCCAAAGCTATTTCTCTTAATAACCACACTAGAGAGACAGACTGGGTAGAACAAACAGAAGCAGTCACTTCCCAGGGAAAAACTTCAGAAAAATGAACAGATGCCTTGGATTTAAGTCTTCTTCAAGAGTGGGGTACAGAAATTCAGTCCTTAGCCAAGACAGGTAAAGATTCCACAGGAAAATGCAGGATTGAGAAGATTGGACATGTCTGGTGAGTGGATGAAAGTAGTCAAGAACACTGGACAGTCCCTATTCAGGTACAAGGGGATCTGATCCCATTTGTGCATGAGCAAGGACATAAAGGAAACCAGGTTACTTTAAATAAGATTAAAGATACCTGGTGGTGGCCAGGCATGAAAGTGGATATAGATCTGCAGGGCACTATGGTTAATGCTGATCCCTAGGATAAAAAAAATGCATTGGGGCACTAAAGAATAGATGGTTCCCGGTCCCAACTTCAGATAAATTACATAGACCCTTTATCCATCACAGTAGAAGGT